TCACATTTGAAATTATAATTTATTTGTTTCTTTGAGACAATATCTACTCTCTGCCTCTCCATTCTTGCTAGTGTAGTTGATCCTAAAATCAATAACATTGTTTTATTACTTAACTGGAGCTGTAAATTGAAGCTAGCTTGAAACATTTTTGGTTGCCTAGTCTTTATATCATGACCAAGAGCTCTCAGACTTCAGTCTGAAATAGAGGAAGATCTAAAGCAGAGGCAGATCCAAGCTACTGGGTCCTGTTGAACTCGTAACTTGTACCATAGATCTGCCCTTGATCCAACGCCGGGTTATATGAGTTCAACTAAACCCATTGCTTTTGGCTCGAACTATGTATACATATGCAAACAAATAAAATGTATATATATAATAAGTTCGCTCTCATTCTTGCCCATTATCCATTGAGTTTCGAACCGTGTGGCTCGTGGATTTCTCGTTTATTCAAAAAAAAAAAGTACGATCAGTATCATTTCGAACCCATTGGCTCTATATTCTGTGTTCGTCTCTGGCATGGCAATTTTCTATCAGCTAGGTCTTCGGGAAACAAAAGGAAAACTATTTGTCTGAAACACCATCTTCCTTGTTTGAAGCTTTCTTCTGGAAAACTAAATTAGCTTATATGCTCTTTAGCTTAAGTGAATAAATTTATTGAATTATAAGTTGAAGGACTATTATATGGCCTTGAAATACATTGCGCTGGAACTTTTCAAAATTTTGTTGCTGGAAGCAAGGAGTGAAGCAGATATAATAGATAATGGTGTTTGGTTTGAAAATGGTTTTCAAAAGGTTTTTGGTTCTTGAGATAATGAGCTACTTGGCATGAAAATTAGTTTTGGTTATACTGTGCCCCCATTGTCTACAAGATTGTGTATCCTAAAACCAGGGGCAGAGAGCCTTTCGGTTGTGGGTTCGGCCGAATCCAGCAGCTTTGGTTCAAACCCTATAATTGTCTTATGAAATCCATTGAATTATATTCAAATTATTAATGTAGAACCCAATAGCTTAAAAGCACTAGAATTCTAAACCCATAAGCTTTAAATTTTGGCTCCGCCTTTGCTTAAAGCTTTCATATTTTTTTCAAAAGAGATCAAGATAATCTACTGGACCTTTATGATCGGTTTCCTGATTATGCTAAATGGAGAAATCATCTGCAAATTTGCATTAGCAATATCAAATACTCCTTCCGTCTCACTTTATATGATGCAGTTACCATTCGCACTCTTCTGCTCATTAAGCAAGATCTTGTTTTCAATTCTGAATTTTTTCACCTTTTAGCATTTTGCTTTTGTGTTAGTTATTCTTGAGAAAGGCTTTTAAATCATTTGTTTCTTCAAGTTAAAAGAGTATTTGTTCACTTGCCAAAGCTAGCATTAGAAATTTCAGCAGATGCTGTATTACTGGATAATGAACTACTGTTTCTAAATTGAATGTCTATTCTTATTGTAGGTTTGGGATGTATTGAGTAATGAAGAAGTTGTTGATATAGTGTCATCAGCTCCTACACGGTCATCAGCTGCCAGGATCCTAGTCGACTCTGCTGCTCGTGAATGGAAAACCAAATATCCAACTTCAAAAATGGATGATTGTGCTGTTGTTTGCTTATTCTTGGACGGACATATGGACATGGAATCCGACAATGAGGAACAATGTTTCTCTTCTGCTACACTTCAGCGTTACCATTCTGATAATGCAGCCGAATCAGATGATGGACACAGCTCCGAGCCATCTCTGCAGAGAAATTTCACTGTTAGATCAGGTGAAGAGAATGATGCCTATAAACGAGCAGTAGTCGAAGCAGAAGCAGAAGCAAATCCAGAATCCGTGGTAACAGAAGATCAGAAATGGTCAGGATTAGAAGGTGTTACTCGAGTCAACTCTCTGGTTCAGCTTCCAAGATTTTCTGCAGAAAGGCCAGGACCTTAACCACTTGCTATCCAATTATGATTTGTTATAATTCACATTCGTTCGTCTCAAAGATGAAATAGAGAGTGGCATTATTGCCATCCTCTATATCTTGTGCAAATATATTTTTTCTGTAGCATTAGACCATGTATACGTCCACCCTTTCTCGCCATTGATAGAGAGCACTTTCATGCGCGGGGTAAGCCTTTTATTTTTATCCTGTTTATGTTCCATTTCAGGTTAATTTGGTCAGCAAGTTAAATTGGTATTCATCTGAATTGTAAATTATTAGTATGTTCTCTTCAAAGGCATGACAATTATTACAGTTTATGTTATGTATGCTCTCTGTCTGATGAGAGTTTAGCCTGTGATTTATGATCTAAATTGTATTTGAACAGTTCTTCAGAAATTATTGTCTCGAGTTATCTGAATAGTCATTTGTGTTTGGATGATTGCTCCACAAAATATTCCAGAAAAACTTTGCATGTGCTGAGGTATATGTTTATGCGTTCTCTATATTAAATGCAAGTGATCTTGGTAATTTGCTTCGGTTGTTTATACTTGTTTTCATTGGAAACATTATTTGTAATAAGGGAGCATGCTGCTTGATTCCAAATTCGGCTATCCAAATATAGTGGTAGAATATGTTAAAAATTATTTCTGCTCAGAAAAAAGTAGCAGGTGGTGCATGAGTTTTTTTTTGGATAAGGTGAAGATTTTATTAAAAACAGTATCAAGCTGATACTGTAAAAATACAAAGATATTGCTGGCTTAAAAACATTAAAATCCTAAGCGGTCTAGCATGTCCAGCATATCATGAAGATTCATAACAATATTTCCATCTTTCCAATAGTACAAATAATGTAAACAACTATATTTTCTGCTCCCTCTTGCCTTCAAAACACCTGTTATTTCCTTCTTTCCATATCGTCCAAGCTATGCTAAGAGGAATATCTCTCCAAATCTTCTTTAAGGATGCTTCTGGACATGCAGGTTCCCAACACTCTAATATATTCCTGAATTTCTTAGGGCTTGCCCAAAGGATGCCAAAGTTAGCCGTGAACATGGACCACACCTGCCAAGTAAATTCACAATGCAAAAAAAGATGGTCCACTGATTCACAAGCTTTTTCACACAAGTAACACCTGTTGCACATTATCCAACCCCATCTCATCAAATTTTCTTGAGTCAGACATGCTTCATGTGCTACTAGCCAACCAAAACATGCCACTTTTGTTGGGACTGTAGTTCAAATCATCTTCCAAGGCCACTCTTGTGCTTGCACCAACTGGATAGCATTTAGTATTTTGTAGAGTGAACTAACAGTAAAAAAACCTTTTTTACTAGCTTTCCAGAGTAAGCTGTCTTCTTTTTCTGGCGATAACACCACCGATTGCATCTTCTGAATAAATATATCAACCTCATGCATTTCTTTGTCGAAGAGATTCCTTCTGAATTGGAAGTCCCAACCTGTATCAGTAAATATATCAGCTAAGAGGATATTTGGATTATTGGCCAATCTGTACGGGTTGGGAAATTGAATTTTCAGCTGACCAGAACCATCCCAATTATCTTCCCAAAGTCTGATTTTTTTTCGTTGCCCACCCTCAATCCAACATACATGTTAAATTTCTCCCATAGGTTACAAATTTGTCTCCAAACAGCTACCCCATATGGAGTCTTGACTGTTTTAGGTGCAAAGAAGCCCTCTTTTCCATATATCACCTCTACCACTGCTTTCCAGGGAGCTTTTTTTCCATCGTTTAACCTCCATAGCCATTTGCATAGCAAGCTTTGATTGTGGGCTCTAAGATTTCTAACTCCCAGACCCCCTTCTTTCTTATGTTTTGTCACAATGCTCCACTTTACTAAATGATATTTTCTCCTTTCTGTATCACCTTCCCACAAAAATTTCTTCCTGATTTTATCAATTTTCTTCTCCACACTAGCTAGTATAGGAATCAGAGACATTATATAGGTTGGTATTCCATCAAGAACACTATTTACTAATGTCAATCTGCCCCCAAGTGATAAGTATTGCTGCTTCCAAAGAGCCAACTTTTTTTCACACTTGTCAATTACACCATTTCACACTGATTTGTCCTTGAATTTTGCACCTAAAGGCAATCCCAAATAGGTAGAAGGAAACTTTTCAACCTTGCAACCCATGATATCAGCTAACATATTAATATCACTGTCAGCATTCAAAGAAAATATTGAACTCTTGGCCAGGTTTATTTTTAATCTCGTCACAGCTTCAAAAGCCAACAGAACCACCCTCAAGTGAAGCACTTGATCTCTATCAGCCTCACACATCAACAAGGTATCATCAGCATAAAGACTATGAGAAATTTCTATACTATTTCCTGAATGACCCTCCATTTTAAAGCCTTTTATCCATTCGCTTCTCAAAGCAGTTTTAATCATCTGACTCAACACCTCCATTACTAGAAGAAACAAGTAGGGAGACAGAGGGTCTCCTTGCCTTAAACCTCTTCGAGAATTAAAATAACCTACTGGACTACCATTGATTAGTATTGAGAACTTTGTAGTGGAGACACAAAATTTTATCCACTGAATCCACTTACCCCCAAAATTCATCTTTTCCAGCAACTTCAGCAGGCAAGGCCAATTGACATGATCATAGGCCTTTTCTAAGTCCAATTTGAACACCAACCCAGGCAATTTTCCTTTCAAGTAGTAGTCTATACATTCATTTGCCAACAGTGATGCATCTGCAATTTGTCTACCTTTCAAAAAGGCATTCTGATTTTCAGAGACCAACTTGTTAATCACCAACTTCATTCTCTCAGTAAGGACTTTAGCTATCAACTTGTATATACTCCCAAGCAAACTAATAGGTCTGAATTCCTTGATGTTGGCAGCCCCTTTCTTCTTTGGACTCAAAGCAATGAAGGTTGAGTTAAAACTTCTAACAAATTCTCCTTCTCTGTGAAACACCTCAAATGTCTTCAGAACATATTCTTTCACAATATGCCAACATTTTTTGAAGAAACACATATTAAAGCCATCTGGACGAGGAGCCTTATCCCCTTCTACCATTTTAACTACTCTTGTTACCTCTATTTCATCTAAAGGTCTCTCCAACCACTCTTTCTCTTGGTCACTGATGCTAGCAAGTTCTGAACAATTCCATGAAGGTCTCCAGCTCTCTTTTTCTGAAAAAAGATCTTTATACAACTCAAGTATGTGGTTTCTAATCAAATTTGTCATCTGTTAAGTCCCCATCTATTTCTAGCTTATCAATCCAATTATATCTCCTATTTGAATTTGCTATTTTGTGAAAAAATTTGGTGTTCTTATCCCCTTGCTTAATCCATAAAAATCTGGATTTTTGCCTCCAATGTATCTCTTCTACCTTAGCTATGTGATGCAACTCGTTTGTTAATGCATTTCTAACAGATTCTTCTTCCTCAGTGTTACTATCATGATTATCATTTTGCTGCTCTATCTCCAATTGATGCAAGATCTGGTCTTTTCTTGTTCCCAGGTGCCCAAAAGTGTCTTTGTTCCACTTCTTTAAATCTTCTTTCAACTTTCTAAGCTTTTTTGCTAGAACCACATCTGGTCTTCCTTGAAAATCATACGAATTCCACTATTTCTCCACTATGCTTATAAAATTAACATGTTCAAACCACATATTTTCAAACTTGAAATACCCTTTACTTCTCTCCCATTCCCCACACTCCAATAGTATTGGACAATTGTCTGACTCCACCCTAGGTAGCACGCTTTGTTTGATAGCTTTGAAGGAATTATTTCATTGACTTGAAATTAAAAATCTATCTATTCTTGAGGCTGAATGTTCATTATTGTCTCTGAACCATGTACTGCCCACCATGTAAAGGAAGATCAATTAGCCCCATATCATCAATGAACCTTGAGAAATCTCTCATAGCCCTAGTATATTTTGCCCTTCCAGTTCTTTCATCCTCAAACCTTGTGATATTAAAATCGCCTCCAACTACCCAAGGCCAATCTTCTAAACGTGCAGCGGCCCCAAGTTCTTTCCATAATTCTTTACTCCTCTTTCTATCACAAGGCCCATATACCCCAGAGAAAGAAAATTTAAAATCAGAATTTTTATCTTCCAAAAAAACACTTGCTGAATACTCCCCCACCAACTTTTCATTACAACTCCATCTCCTTTTATCCCATATAAGTAAGATTCCACCACTATTCCCTGTTGCTTTAAGCTCTAACCAGTCTGTCCATCTACTTCCCCCAGACTGCCTCATCAAGGAACAATTACACTGCTTTAGTTTTGTCTCGCTCAAACAAACAATATCAGTATTCCACTTTTTTATCAGTGACTTCACTAGCCTCCTTTTTTCTGCCTCGTTCAACCTTCTGACATTCCACCATAAAATTTTAATCTTCATTTTCTATTTGTAATGGCCTGCCTTCCTCGATCTCTGCTCCCCGGTTCATCCCCATAATTAACCTCAAAATTCTTCAAACCCTCTATTTCCCGTTGATTCCTCTTATGTGGAGATGGAATTTTGTTTTGTGGCTTAGGTCTTGCTAATCTGCTCCTTTCAATTCTCATGAGAAGGTTCAGCAAAACCCGGAAAAATATGTTAGTATATTATGCTGGAGTTCCAGCATAACTATACTTGAACTCCAGCATATTATACTGGAGTTCTAAGATAAGTATGTTGGAACTCCAGCATAATATGATGGAGTTCCAGCATAATTACACTGGAACTCCAGCATAATATATTGGAGTTCCAGCAACTATACCGGTCCAGCATAATATACTGGAGTTTGGAGCACCGGTGCTTCAGTCTCCAGTATATTATACTGGAGTCAGCAAAGTATACCGGTCCAGCATAATATGCTGGAGTTCATACACAGGTGCACCGAACTCCAGTATATTATGCTGGACCGGTCTCTGCTGCAGCAAAATAGTGGCTATTTTCATTGACTTGGTAAACGCTGGCTATTTTTGAATGATCAGTCCGAAAACTGGCTATACCGTGTTATTCCCTTGTCAAATTTCCAACATCTCGCTTATTACGCCAGCTGTCACGCTTGCCACGCGTGCCTGCTATTAATGAAAATTCTCCATTGGGAACCTGCGACTTCTTCTGAGTACGCCTCAATTCCTTGTTGGACTAATTCTAGAGACTTAGGCCCTCTTTCTCAAGAAGAGCAAAAGTCAACTAAACACAAACTAGTGTTTGCAACCACTAATTTAGCAATTAAACATGAAATTAGCCCAAATATCAAACACCCATAGTCAATCAAGTCCTAAAATACAAGACCCATCAATTGCCCACACTGGGGTTGAGCCACAACCCTAGCTGATGGGTCTAGCTACTCATAATTAGAGAGAAAAATAGAGAAATAGATGAAGATAGACTCAAAATAATTAATTACTAAAAAGAACTTGAAGATTCAATGGTGAAATTAAGCTAAAATTACTCAAAATAGCAAAATAACCCAAGTCACGAGCGCAGCTCTACGTACAAAACTATCTGATAACCTAAAAATGGGAAAAGAATCTATTTATACTAGGATAAAAATCTCGGACAAAAATACCCCTGCGGAGGCTAGTGCGGACCGCACAAATCACGTGCGGCCGCACTAAGGCTCTTGACTTGAATTTCCAGCTCTCTGAACTTGGGCAATCGGACCGCACAAAATCTAGTGCGGCCGCGGTGGCTTCTAGTGCAGTCCGCATGAAATGGAGCGCGGACCGCATTGGGCTTCAAACTTGAAATCGGCAACTCTCTGAACTTTCTTTCTGCGGACCGCACTAAATCGAGTGTGGCCGCATTGATCCCAGTGCGGACCGCACAAAACCTCGTGCGGCCGCATTGCCTTTGTGCCTGAATAGCAGCCTCTCTGAACCTCACTTGTGCGGACCGCACAGAATGGTGTGCGGCCGCATTAGCCCTGTTTTGCCTGAGCTTTGTCTTGTCTTGGTACTTGTGCAAGTTTCACTCCTTTTTGAGCTGATCTTTGACACCTTGTCACCTTGTTGATCAAACATGCAATCAAGCACAACTTGTGAGCCTTTGGGACTATTTTATACACATTTCTAATCAAAACTTGAGCATGAAGGAGTGTAAAATGCGTCAGATTCTCTAGTTATCAACAGCGATCTAGGAGAAGGTGGTGATGATCGTTTTGGATAATGGAGAAGATTACTTATATCAAAAGGTGATGATAATGATGATGAAGACTACATCAGCAGCAATGAAGAAGAAGATGCAGAATTACAGGTGGGAGGAGGACAAGGCAGTAAAGCAATGTTGCTTGTGGATAAGACAGTGGTAGTGCAAAAGATGATAAGTTCAGATGAAGAGAGAGAACGAAACGAGGGAGCAGAGAGAGAGAGAGCAGTGATTGATGGATAATATGTTGGGTGCAATAATGTAGATTGATGATAATTGTCATAAGCAATCTATGATGATGACAATCGAACATGGACAACAGCGACATATGATTGTTGATGTGTTTGGAAATGATCCTCAAGAAGATAGGAATTACTTTGTTCTTTTTTTTTTCTTATTTCTTTTCTGACTATACTATCGGATTTGAAGGAAATTAGTAGCTTTTTGCATAAATCCATATTCTTCATCGAACCCAGATAATAAAGTTAAGACAAGGTATTTGCACATTGTATCAAACAACCATCATGAAGCATCATCAAAGCCAAATGTTTGGTTAATCGTTTTAGCTTGGTTAATCTTACCCCTGTGCATAACCCTGACTCACTTTTGGAAATTATCAGCTCCTTAGTCTTATAATAGTAATTTGTACATATTTAATGAATTTCTTAAGTCAAATACATGGTTTGAACCATAGCTATTGGGTTCAGCCGAACCAGTAACTTCTACTCTTCCTCCGCCCCGGTATCTAAATAAGCAACTAAATGCCATATGGAGAGATGATTACTCTGTAAAAAGTAAGTGTTTTAGAAAGCTTGGTTAAGGTTAGCTGCATTAGGTTCTCAATAGAACTGCTCACTCAACCTAACAAGTTAGTGTTCTCAAATGTATCAGATTATTCACAGCAAGGATGTCATAAAAGCAATAAACTGTGATAAGGCATTCAGCATGACTGCTACCAACAAGGCAAATGATGCAAGTATAATCACTGTGCACAGTGCTTTAGCAACAATGGGTAACTTGCTAAATTTTCTTGGTAGAACAACTTTTACAAGATTTTTAGGATAACAACAACAACAAACCCAATGTATTCTCACAAGTGGGGTCTAGGGAGGGTAGTGTGTACGCAGACCTTACCCCTACCTTTAAAAGGCAGAGAGGTTGTTTCCGGTAGACCCTCGGCTTAAGAAAGATAAAGGGAAGGGCCAATGACAAGCAAACCAATCGGAAAAATAGGCAAAAACACACAACTTTCACTAGCTAGTACAGTTAAAACCGGAGCAAAGGCAACCATACGTAATAACAGAAGTCCAAAAAGGCAAAAATACATAGAGATATTAAGTGGAGTAGTAAAGCTACTGTAACAAAACAAAAACAAAGCTCGACTACCTAAACCTCTACCTAATTCTCAACCTCCACCCCTTCCCATCCATGGTCATGTCCTCAGTAAGCTGGAGCAACGCCATATCCTTCCTAATCACCTTTCCCCAATACCTCTTCGGCCTGCCTCTACCCTTCCGTTGACCCTCCAAGACCAACCTCTCACACCATTTGACTGGTGCATCTGTACCTCCTCTTCACATGTCCGAACCATCTTAGTCTTACCTCTCGCATCTTGTTCTCCACATAAGCCACACCCACCTTGTCCCGGATAACTTCATTTCTAATCTCGTGTAGTCTGGTATGCCCACACATCCATCTCAGCATCCTCATCTCAGCCACCTTCTGGACATGAGAGTTCTTGACTGGCCAGCACTCCATCCCATACAACATAGTCGGTCTTACCACCGCTCTATAGAACTTCCTTTAAGTCTTGGTGGCACATTCTTATCACACAAGACACTGGAAGCGAGCCTTCATTTCATCCATCTCACCCCAATGCGATGTGTGACATCCTCGTCAATCTCTTAATTCCCTTGAATAACGGAACCAAGATACTTGAAACTCTCTCTCTTAGGGATGACTTGTGAATCTAGCCTCGCGTCTTCGTCCACCACCGGAGTCGCACCACTGAACTTGCACTCCAACCTTTGAACTTGCACTCCAAAATTTTTAGGACAGGATACTAAATTCATAAGCTACATCAGATTATGGTTTCTTTGACATATTCTTCTTTTATACGCGTTCTCCTCGTTTTTTCTCAATCAAATTTGTTATCAAAGAAAAATTATAAATTTCGTTATTTGGACCTGAGAGTTCAACATAGATATTAGATTGAATAGCTTGGAAACATTCCCAACAAAAATAGGAACTAAATACACATACATATATTTGATCCTTAACAAGTTTATGTCAATTAACCATCCCGGCATTATGCCAAGCCAGAAAGTTCCTCACAAGAACAACAGCCAAAATTTGTCAAAGAAATATCCACACACAATATTTTGGCACAGATATGAAAGGGCAAAGGTCACCTTTAGCCCGCGACCGAAATTATTTATATCCGCATAAGTGTATAAATTTGTATGCTTTTTGTATATAATATACAGAAATGTATATATATATATTAAAAAAAATACATTTTTCGGCTATTATTTTGAGAGCGGCTATACAGTGTTATTTTTCCCATAGGAAAATAGCTTCGTAGACCAGCCCAATTTCAGCTCCAAACTTCCAAAACTTTTTCTTAGTTAATATTCTATAAGTTACGAAACAAGATCCATCTAAACCAAATGCTTGAATAAGTAAAAATATATTCAACACCTTACAAGTAAATATTGTATTTTTATTATCTCAGCTTGCGCTTAATAAAGTCACATCATTAATCTCAAGTGGGGATGCCTTTATTTTTTATTTTCTTAATATAAAGAAATTACCTTTTTTACTGTAAAAATAGAAATAGGAAAGGTTCCAGAATAATAGTAACCAAAGGATAAATTCGTTAAAAAAAAAAAAATAAAGAGGATAAATTTGTGACATTACAGTTTAAATTGTATTCTCTTATCATCACAGTATGTAGCATGAAATTAACATTTAGAAATGAAGAATTTATTTTAATGTACATAGGTTAAAGAGAAATCTGCTATAACTGAAAATGAAACAATAAAGGGATGTAATTATGTAAACAAAATATTAATATAATTAGAGGAATAATTCTAAGATTGTAGGGTATTTAATCTTTTTCCAGCTTGTTTGGATGGTTGTTACCTATTCTAGTGTATCGTATTATTACTTTAAATACGATATTTATTTTGATTGTTACTTAAATTTAATTGTATCGTATCGTTAAATTTGTCATTACGTAACGACGAAATGTGTCATTTTATGTAACGACCGATTTGGTATGGTCGCATCGTGACCTTGTCTTTTTCTCTCATCTCGCGCTTTATTATTATTAAATAATCTTATTTTATCCTTTACCCTATCTTTTTTATATAATAACTCTACCTCGTATCATATTTTTTTCTTTATAATATTGCAAGTTTATTCTTCTTATTGTTGGTGCTTGATATTGTGATACGCCGGCAAACGATACAATCTATGCAAACATTGTATTTATCAAACGATACAATACAATATACAAAACGATACATTATGAAACGAGATGTAACAACCATCCAAACAAACTGACTTAGTGATAAGGAAACATTATATAAATAGAAAGTGACCCTGTATTCTGTACAATAGAATTGTGTTTCATTTAAACATTATCTATAAACCACCTCCACACACTTCAATTTTTTCCTTCTAATTTTTGCCTTTTCTATATCTTCCCCACATTCAACAAGGGGTAGGGGCAAGGAGAGCAAGTAATAATAACTAAATATAGCAGAAGAAAAACATTGTTGGCCATATGGGACACTTTTAATTTCCTAGATAGCTTTTACACATGCTGGCCAGTAACCGGTTTATGGATGAGTGCTCTTGGAGTAATCGGTAACCGACGTGCCTATGACTTCGTTTCTCAGGTTTAAATATAACTTGATCAAAGAACTCATAAAATCTCTGATGTTGTTCGATTGATTAATCCTGCAATGCAAACACAAGAATAAGGTTTAGTGATTTAATTAAAAGTGAGGAAACACAGAGATTGAAGAGGCAGTTTAGTCTAGACTAATACCTCGGGCAATTTGCTCGATGATGAATCAGATTTATCTTCCGATAGTTCTTCAGACAATACCCGTGCCTCTGATTTCTCATTTGAATAACTGCAAAAATAAATTTTCAAGCGTCAGAAAGATACCACTCCTATCCTTTTTTATGATGTTCTAGTGTAAATACATGACATATAGAGAGACACTTTGCATAGCAAAGTCTCAACAATGGCAGAATCTGAAGGAATCCATCACTCAAATGGTTACTCAACTATCCGAAATTACCCAGTAAAGTCGTGTTTCTTTTGTTCGTAACAGAAAAGTCACTTAACTATATCTATAGTATTCAGAAGGTTGCTCAACCAAAATCTAAATGTTAGGCATTAGCACAGATAAAATAAATGCAAAGGCGAGAAAAAGACTGGTCTCCCGTCAACACAATCTCCGACGATTTTTCATATAGGAAATGAGTGACATGGGATAACTGATACACCATGCACAATGACCATGGGCGAAGCTACCTTCCCTTAAGGGCGGTCAATTGACCATCCTTCGCCGAAAAATTACACCGTATATATAGGTAAAATATTAGGTTTTAGAGGTATAAAATATATATTGAACACCCTTTGTCGGGAGTTTTTTTCCACTTAGTTCAAGTTTGAACACCCTTGAAGAAATTCCTGGCTTCGCCACTGACAATGACAAAGCAAAAGTCAGATACAAAGGAGGAGGAAGAATCATGAACTTCTCATTTCTCAGATTCGTGTTTTTTCTCTCATTCTTCCATATCGGATAGCTCATGTACCATAATGTTGATCTTCTCCTGGATGTCCTAACTTCTCTCCTATCTCTTTACTTCTCCGGTTTAAACTCCGTCTTTAGAGCAGAGAAAAAGCTGAGCTCCAACTTAGGTTTCAGCCTTTAACCTATATAACCCATTCATTTGCAGATTGTGCTACAATGTTCCCACTAATTTCTGCCCACTTTTCTGTCGTAAACTCCCTTTCTCTTTCTTTCAATGATATCACCATTGCCTCAACTGCCCTGCAGTCTCAGGAACAAAATATAAGCATCCACAGATAGCCAGGAGGTGGGTAGGGCAGACAGACAAAGTTATGATACACAATTTTGTTAATACACTATTTTAGAGAGGTTCCGCTACTTCAGAAAGATCCGGTGCAGCACAAGAACCAGCCTCAACATATTTCTATCTCTTGATAAGAACCTTAGTAGGGTTGTTTATTCACAAGGCAAAGAAGACACAAAATAACCGTAGTTTAATGAGACGCCTATCTTAATCCGTAGATGACAGTGAAAAAGTTAACAAGTGACATCTATCGCATGACTACAAAATGTCTTTGTTCCTTAAATTTGTTAACGATGAGAATACAAGCAATTTACATGTACTCCTGTTGTCCCTAGCTGTACGAAAGCAATTGTAAAATTGAATCAGAAACTTACGTTGAGAGAATAGTAACCCAAACCAGTTCGATGCAGTCCACCCAAAGGAGTCTTTGCTCAAGAGGAATAACACCATAAGTTATTAGGTGAGCAAACGGCCAAAGCTTCCAACCTGCCTGAAAGAATTAAGAACTGATTTAGTATTTCTCCAAGACATCCAGATGCCAACTTATTTTTTAGAGTAAAAAAAAATATAAATATCTCTGTAAGTCTTATTTTTTATTTTATGACGGCGGTCTCCAAATCAGCTTGTGTGCATAATCTCAGTTTCTTATAATCTATTATCCGCACATAAATAAATAAGCCAAACCAAGCAGAGTTCATTAACAAATAAAAAAAGACAGGCATAGACATCTAGGAGTATCACATAGCTGAAGTGATGTACAGTTCCTAGGAATATTAGCATATACTCTGTGTAAAATGCCTTGGAGCAACGGTAAAAGTTATCTCTGTCTGAAGTATAGGTCATGGGTTCGAGCCGTGGAAGTAGCCATTAATACTTGCATTAGGTTATCACACCTCTAGCAGTGCGGCCCTTCCCCGGATCCTATGTGAATGCAGTATGCTTTTTGCATCAGGCTGCCCTTTATTCTGTATAAAATGCATTGCAACTAGCGCAATGATCTAAGAGAAGAATAATTCACAAAACATTCTGTAATTCAAGCTTAAGATCAGCTTAAATGATACACATAGCACCTTCATAATCTTATTGTTCAGCTGAAATGATACAAATAGCTTCTTCATAATTTTATCAGTCCGAAACTTCACATTTACATGGCTTTCACTGATATATTTATAAGAAAAGTCATTAAGTTCTTTATGCGATCATGATATCAAAATTCTAATAGAAATAGAAGTATCTAACTTCAACAGCCAGACTTACGCCACTCAAACAATATCTGCATTAAGGAGATGACAAAGATTCATAAGGGTTGATCAACAGAAATGCCATCGGTTTGGTTGCAGGCTTCATTTACCGATGCAAAATTGTAAGGACATATATAAACATTTTATATACATAGTAACTATTCCAAAGAGTTCAACTCCTTGAGTTCCAAAGAAACAGCTATCCTCATTCAACAGGTAGAATCCTATAGACGGATAGGCCAAAGTGAAAATTCTACCATTCCGGACATATTGCTAGCTAACAAGCAGCCGATAGTCCATCTTAGATCTCAAGATGAACTGATAAGTATCATCATTCTCAAAATTTCCAGAACCATATGGCAATACTAAAAGGATATATCGTTAAAAAAACACAAATCAAACAGACAGCTTGGACTAAATTCTGCTGAATCGGCATAAACAAATTGAAAATCTTGAGCTAATACGCTGTTGTTCGTGTTATAGCTATATTGAATTCCAGGAAAAACATAAGGTACTCGGCGTAAGCACTTTAACAGATCATTAGAAGAATTCCTTACCGTTAACATGGGCCAAAACGTGGTTTTGAGCTCGCCAAAAATATTGGCTGCAGATTCAAGACGCAAGAAACCAAGAACCACATAATAGATACTATTCCAAACTGCTGCCCATATGGTTTGGTCAAAAGCAACTTTAGCAGGAACCACCCACCAGTCGTTGGACGGAAAAAGAGCCTGTTACAGTTGAAACTATTTAGCTTTTAGCAAATATGTGAGAGTATGTTTGATCAATCAAAATAAAAGCCACAAGCATCACCTCGCAAAATTGGTAATAATAATGGGAAAGTGATCCATGAAGTGAAAATCCAACAAGACCAGACCTAAACATGCGAGTTCGATCGAATTCAAGAAGAGGTTTCCCTTCATAACACTAAGATCCATAAACAACAAAAAATTAGATCCATAAACAGCTCAAAAAATAGTGGAAAACAAATTTAAGAACAAACAATACTTACTTGAGCTATCCAATCTCCTAGAGCATAGACAATACCACTAATAGCCATTTTAGCTAAAACAGGATTTGTTTTCAGTGCTTCCTCATATGCAATCCAGTTGTGCTCCGGCGCATATCTTAATATCTCATAAAAGGTCCATCCCTGAGTACACAATCAAGAAAATTAAAACCATACAAAGTGAAAAAAAAAAAAAGTAAGTTGCAATTATATGATGCTGAAATGTGTGATCATCTTATCTAAAGAGAGCTAACTTTTATTTACTCAATTATATGTTCAACGTGTCTTCCACGTGGGGGCCTGGTTCTTTTCTTGGTATAAGCGCGTGAAAATTATTTTTGATAATAGATGGAAGTGCGACTTGGATCTCAACGTGGATCTTATACCATGTTGAATTTTGTAATTATCTCATCTAAAAGCTTAAACTGTTAGAACTCTTTTCCCATTATACGCTCTAAAAAAGGGTATGTCGGGTTTTTGGACCCTATGTTGAGTAAGGATTCCAAACCTTCCAAAAGTGATAGGTATGTGTTGTTTCTTGGCACTCTCTTTCTATATTATGCCAACCAAGAAAGAGCGATGGAAAGTGGATTTTAGGTTCCATTGTCTCGAGAAGGTATTAGCCACCGGTGACCATACTTTCGTAAAAGCACCATTGGGCGGTGGTTCCTCTCCTTCTTCTTGAACCTCGAACCAAAAATCGATCTCGCTCCAGACTTTTGATGCAAAAGATTTATAGAAGGAGCTAACCATTTCGATAATATATCCAAATTCCCTGCCTCTTGGTTGAAAGGAATTCCTAGAGATGAGCCCAAACGATAGATTCAATAAGTTCTTGCCAATAACCACGTCCATTGAATAGAAACATTAAACTAAATGCCCGGATAAAATGAGCACCTACGAAAAAAAGGCCATATGCGACAACACCAACAACAACAACAACATACCCACTATTTATCCCACACCGTGTGGTCTGGGGAGGGTAGTGTGTACGCAGACCTTCCGCCTACCTTGTGAGGGTAGTGTGTACGCACATAATGAAAAACCATAAAACTGGGGTATACTTATATTTTTATTTAATTACATATATCTTCAATATAAGACTATCCAACTTAGTTCATTCATTTTTGTCATCATTTAGCCCTGTGAAAATCCAATTAATCTTAATGTTTCGTTTATGATCACAAGGGACAAATGAATAAAAGAACCTTTTTTCTTTCCTGATAGGAAACATAGCATAAAAGAGAATAAAGAAAAAACTTACATGCCAATAGTCATGATCTATTGTTAGTAACTTTGTGATGGCAAATGTACCAGCACCAAGTACAATTGCAGCATTAAGAAACCTATCTTTGTCCCACAAAATGGACAAACTATTCTTGGTTTCCACAAATTCACTGTCATTTGAATCTTTCTTTTCATTTTCTTGGCTGATCTCTTCTGTACTGTCTACTTCCCTATCTTCTGTGACAGCATTTATTGGACGAACAAGACCAGTTTTTGCAAAAAGAGTTGGGTTTTGTAGTGAATTTTGTCGGGTGATGTGTGGAGAAAAGTTGATGGAGAAAAATTGAGTATTTCTGGATTTTGAGGGAGAAGAGAGGGTGTGGATAGCAAAATTTTTGAGAGCTGACATGATTGGTAGGTTGTTCCGAAAGAGAAGGAAGTTCCAAAGGGAAAAGGAAATAGTTTTATTCTTTCATTTAAAAAAGAGAAATGCATAAAATGTTTTTTTTTTTGTATATGTTTATATATATTTTTTAATTAGCGAATGTAATAAGTTTCGGCTGATGGTCAATTTAGTTGGCGTTTGGACATAAGAATTGTAAAATTTCAAAAAATGGTAAAAAAAAAAATTCAAGTGAAAATGATATTTGAAATTTAGAGTTGTGTTTGGACATAAATTTCAGTTTGGGTTGTTTTTGAAGTTTTGTGACTGATTTGAGTGAAAATTTTGAAAAATAACTTTTTGGAGTTTTTAAAATTTTCAAAAATTTCCAAAATGCATTTTCAAGTGAAAATTGAAAATTTTATGAACAAACGCCGATTGCAAAAAAAGTGAATTTTTTTTGGAAAAAAAGGAAAAAAAAATTATTTCCAAACGGGCTCTTAGTATTTTGCCAGAAACAACAATGAATTCGCTATAATATCACAAGTAGGGTCTGAAAAAAGTAATGTGTAGGCAAACCTTATCCTTATTTTGTAAAGATAAAGAGGCTTTTTTCGATTGTCGGTAGACCCTGGCACAAAAAATAGAAAAAAGAAAATGAAATGCTAGCTAAAAGAGTTGGTCGGTTGGGGGTTTACTCCTCATAGAAAAAAGAAAGTATCAAAACATTTTGGTAAAGAAACATTTTCTTATAGGGATATTTTATTTTTGTCGAAAAAAAGATATGATAGGGAATTTCCGCCATTAAGGATATGTCTATGTGATGAGATGATTGAGATTCTTTCTTTCTTAATTAGATATTTTGATTTTAAAGAATATGTAGATTTTTTTGGTAAAGAGTGTTTTTATCCTATAATGAGCCTATGAATGTAAATTCTAATTAATCGAACCAGCTGCTTATGAACAAAAAAAAATAGCAATAAAATGACAAACCTATCATTAAATAAATTAGGAAAAACAAAAGAACCCAAAAAATCCGACTCAAATGCAATGGGCAATTTTTTTTTTTAAATGTTTAAAAATGTTAAAACCATTTTCCACGATGTCTATTCTAGGCTGCCACTTTATTTAGTCAAATTTCAACAAAAATATATGGCTTATAATTAGTAACACGTCAAACCCTTATCCTATATGCAACAATAGTTGTCTTGTTCTTCAATTGTGAGAACTCAAACCACAATCTAGAATCCTATAAATGCTTTTATCTTCTTCTAATTTCATCACTTGACAACTTAAAAAATCATAGGAAAATATATTCCCTTCTCTTTTTCCTAAAGCAAAATTAAAAACATCTCTTTTGAGTCTTGACCTAGGAGTTTAAAAAAAAAAAGTTACTACAACTTGTTTGGAAACTTGTAATAGTACGAAACAGTAAAACTTATTCCTATATAATTTGGTTATATATCCTAATTAGACATGAACCATTTTAATTTTCTATTACAACTTTTTGAATTTATTTTCTAACCGATATTCTTCAATTATATTAGAATATTACATGAGATATTTATTTATTTCAAGATTGAAATACAATTTGTTAGGCCTCTTTTTTGAGTTGATTGCCTGCTTGGTTTACTTGTGCTAAGAAGCAACAATTATTCACCATAGAAATTTCAGCAACAATAGTGGGGAAATTTGAATGGATCTTCTAATAATGTCATGTGTTGTTAACCAAGAAATTTGTCCCTTTTTTCAAAAAAAAAAATCACTTCTTTCCGAAATCAGCGTTTGTTCATAAAATTTCCAATTTTCAATTGAAGATGTAATTTGGAAATTTTCGAAAATCTGAAAAACTCCAAAAAGCTGTTTTTTAAAATTTTCACTCAAATCACTCACAAAACTTCAAAAACAAACCAAAATTATATTCATGTCCAAACACAACTCTAAATTTCAAATACCATTTTCACTTGAAAATTTTTTTCACCTTATTTTAAAATTTTACAATTCTTATGTCCAAACGCCCACTAAATGTATATGCGTATACATGTTTTTTTTATCTTAATTTTTTATTTTCTTCATTAATATGTCTACCAAATAATTGAAAGTAATCTCTTTTTCTAAATGAAAGTTATAAGGACAGCTCGGTGCACTAACCTCCCGCTATGCGTGGAATTCGGGAAGAGCCTAACCATAAGGGTCTGTTGTATGCAATCTCACCCTGTATTTCTGCAAAATGCTATTTTCATGGCAGCAACTTTACCTGTTATTATGGCAAAGCTTTCCTTCTAAGTGAAAGCTAAAAGTTTTCCTTCTAAACGAAAGCTAAAAGCCTTGCTAAGTGACAATGGTATACAAAAGACTAATCCATTCAGACTTTAGAGCGCAAACTTCGATACACAAAAAGCACGAGGAAAGTGAGGGTCAACAATTTTTTTTTAAAAGTATTCCTTTCGTCCCTTTTTTTTTGGTTAACGGGATAATTTTATATATATATATATATATATATATATATATATATATATA